CCCCCGGTGCGGGCGCCCGCCCTCCACGCCGCGAGACCTCCCGCTGGCGGAGCCAATTTCCGGGCTTAAGGAAGACACCTTTAAAAAACGTTACATCGTGGCCCCAGACACCACAAAACAGGTTTTATTAAACTCCTCCCACCTCCCCTGGCTCCATCTCTTGGATACATCGATATGCACAAGGGTTTTGAAACGTTTCCCTAAACGCAGATGCAACGAAAGTAATTATCTATGAAGGGCCATTCCGGTAAGGACGCGGAATCCGAAGGAGGAAATAAAACAATAGCCTTTGTTCTGCTTCTCGACCGCTGCCTCTTTAAGAGAATCCACCAGGAAATGGGAGATCGGGTTACAGCCTGCACACGGGGAAATGTGGGGAGAGCGAGCGCCCGAGCGCGACGCCGGAGACAAAGCCGGGGCGGCCGCGCCGCAGACGCTGGGGGACCGCCGGGCGGGGGGATTCCCGGGGAAGGTGGGCGCCCCGGAAAGAGGTGGCGCGGCGCGCCCGCTTGGGGATGCGGCGGCCGCGGGCGCTTCCCCATCCGAGCACGCGCTCCGAGACGGGAAGGTTGCAGGGCAGTTATCAAAGGCAGCTGAGTTCCTTTTCCTGACCTCCCCCTCCTGTTTCGAAATCTACTGCCCTTTTAAAGAAATAGCGGCCGCCACCAACCGAAATAGGTGACTCGACTACAAACTTGGCAGGACGTGTTCCTGCAGATAATACCCCTCCCCAGGACCGCTTCTATGAAACCGTCATTGGCCAGTTGATTGGATGGCCCTGGGATCCTGCAGGGGGAGGAATATTTGGTTGGAAAAGCAGTTGAGGGTGGTTGAGGCCGTTGGGACTGAGGGGTCTAGCCTTGAGCACAAGTGGTCTGATTACTTTATTATTTTTATTATTATTTACAGTCTCTTAAATTGCCCTGAAGTGTCCACCACAAAAAACTGAGAACATTATCATTATACTTAAATTCTAACCTTGTTAACACATATATGGGGGTTTAATATGTGGATGTGTAATGTAAAACGAAATTTGTTGTAATGTCTTTATTGAGTAATATATTAAATATGGTATAAATATGTATATACCCATATATGTTACCTGCACCGAACCAGGACACATTTCCCCGAGTCTCCCCACCCTACAGATTTTGCCTACCCACTTTTCTTCACCTCTCCATATTAAGAAATGTGTTCAGACTTGTATACACAATACTTTTGTTCACACATTGATCAGATCACTCCGAACGAGGCTAGGGTGGGAAAGAGTGCTGTTGCTGGGATGGTGGGAACTGGTTTTTGTGAGCCTCCAGGAACCTGAACAGTGTTTGTCAACTGGTAGTCCTACTCTCCAAGAGATCTCAGTCTTGTCCACACCGACTCCTCTGCCTTTGACCACCCCCTTCTTCCCTTTAACAAATCTGTATTCTTTTGCTTTTCATAATTGATGTTGCAGACATTGGTTCAGATGTCCCATTGCTGGGTTATGTCTTCTACATCACTTAGCAATGTGATCCCTGACAACTCAGTTACTAAGCTTCTGTAAAATGGGGAGAAATAGTACCTAGCTTATAAGATTATCTTATTAAATAAGAAAATATATACAAATGCCTCCTTAGCAGAGAGCAGCACAATATATGTGCTCAGTTAAAGTTGGCTACAATTATTATTTAACCCCAGGACTAAATTAGTTCTCAACTTTTCTTCCTAACTCCTCCTCAACGTCTACAAGTGATTCATAGAAGTATAGTTTGAAGTAAACTGTTGGTGGTTCCAAAGCAAAAAACATAGTTGACAACTGTAGCAAAAGCTACATTTAGACCAGGGGTTGCCAGTCTCTGTAAAGGTCCGTGTTGTAAATGCCTTAGTCTTTGTGGGCCGAGAGACAAAATTGAGAATGTCAGGTAGATACTTATATAACATGAAGAAAAAAAATTCACAGTTTTTTATTTTATCAATTCAAAGTGTAATAATACAATTTTAATACAGGTATACTAATGAAAGGCATGGAATTCTTTTGGGGGGAAATAACATTTCACTTGGTGTTCAAAGTGTTCTTTCATAAAAATTGACTGCAGATGTTCATCTATTAATGCTGATTTTTTATGAGATTTTATGTACTTCATTTTTGAAATGTCTTTCTACCCAGACAGGTACTGCCAAAGACTGGTATCAACCCATGAGCACGTGATTTTACTTGAGTGTATTCATTGCTTAGAAGGCATTTCTAAAATTCTATTAGAATTCTATAAAATCTCTTGATATTTCCCCTTTAGCATGCCATTACATTGCAGATTAATCACTTCCAGTTGAAGGTTAAATGGAAGCTTCTCAGTTGCACAGTTAAGTAAATTTTAAATATGAAAATTTCCTTTGCACTTGCATTGAAATTCAAAAAACACTGTTGGTACTGTAGTTTGAGTTCAGAAAAACATAACTGCTGCAAATTTGTGTTGGAATGGAGATCTTGCTTCTTGTTTTAACTTTTGACAGCATGAGAAGTGTGTAAAACAGCTTGACATTATTTGTGATTCAAACAATGTTAGTTGTGTCAAAATGATTTTACTGCAGTTTTAAGTTTTGCATGCAAGCTCTATTTTGCCTTGTAGTTTTAGGTTAAATTCATAAAGAAACATTATCAAGTCTGTAGTAAAAGCTTATTGGCAGAGCCATTCGGCATTCAATAATAGTGGTTGAGGGAAGTTCTTCTCATTCATTCATTTCCATTTCTCGCTTGTTTCTCTGTTCCTTGTTTTCTGAGAACTTCTTTTGGGTAAATTGGATATTTTTTTCATATTCCATTTAAATTATTAGATTGTCTTTTTAGATTTTCTTCTTTATGTTAAATATGGGGGTTGCTTTAGAAATTACAATTTGCGTATGTTATTATCACAGTCTACCTTTAAATAATATGCTGTTTTATGAATCTGTTAAAAAGTTACAGTGTAATTCCATTTATCCCTCTTCCATCCTCTGTACTGTTGTCTTATATTTTAATTCTACATGTTATAAAATTCATTTTACCTTGTATTTTTATGGTATTTAGAAATTTGTAAATATATGCATGTAATGAATGTATTAAAATATGTCTCTCTTTAATTTGCCCAGATGTTTATCCTTTCTAGTACTTTTTTAATCCTTCTTGCAGATCTGCTTTTCCATCTGGTATCTTCCCTTTGGCCTGAAGAACTTCGCTCAGCATTGCCTGTGTGCTGTTTGTTGGAGAAGTCTCTCAGCTTTTGTCTGCCTCTAAATGTCTTTATTTCACTTTTGAAGGGTATTTTTACTGTATGTAAAATTTTATGTTGACATTTTCTTTTCTTTCAGCACTTTAAACATGTCATTCATCTTCTGACTTCATATTTTGATTTAAAAAATCACTTGTAGTTCATATTTTGGTGCCCCTGTGTACAGTGTTTTTTCTGTAGCTGCTTTTAAGATCTGCTCTTTAAATTTGTTTTTCAGAATTTTGACTATGATGTACACAGGAGTGGTTTTCTTTGCATTTATCATTTATTCTCCTTGATGTCAGCTGCAGTTATTGGACCTGTGGGTTGGTATCTTTCATTAGTTTTAGAAAATTGTCACTGCCGGGCCAGTGGCTCACGCCTGTAATCCCAGCACTTTGGGAGGCTGAGGTGGGCGGATCACGAGGTCAGGAGATCGAGACCCTCCTGGCAAACACGGTGAAACCCCGTCTCTACTAAAAATACAAAAAAATTAGCCAGGCGTGGTGGCAGGCACCTGTAGTCCCAGCTTCTAGGGAGGCTGAGGCAGGAGAATGGTGTGAACCTGGGAGGCGGGGGAGCTTGCAGTGAGCGGAGATCGTGCCACTGCACTCCAGCCTGGGTGACAGAGCGAAACTCCATCTCAAAAAAAAAAAAAAGAAAATTGTCATTTATTATCTGTTTGAATATTTTTACACCCATTCTGTTTGTTTCCTTTTTTATCCTTAATACAAGTATTAGGCCATATATTATTGTTCCATGTATCTCAAATACTCTGTTTTATCCCTTTGTATTTCTTTTTTTTTTTTTTTTTTGAGATCAGCTTAGGCTGGTCTCGAACTTCTGGTCTCAAGCAGTCCTCCTGTCTTAGCTTTCAAAGTGAGATTACAGTGCTAGCCACCACACCTGGCTTGTTTCAATTTGAATGCTTTCTACTTATTTCTTTTTAAGTTTCCTTCCTCTGATTTTTTCCAATTTACTGTTAAGCCCATGTAATCCTGTTTTGTTTTGTTTTGTTTTGTTTTGTTTGAGATGGAGTCTCGCTCTGTCATCCGGGCTGCAGTGAAGTGGCACTATCCCGGCTCACTGCAATCTCCGCCTCCCAGGTTCACGCCATTCTCCTGCCTCAGCCTCCCTAGTAGCTGAGACTACAGGCACCTGCCACCATGCCCAGCTCATTTTTTTGTATTTTTAGTGGAGACGGGGTTTCACTGTGTTAGCCAGGATGGTCTCGATCTCCTGACCTTGTGATCTGCCCGCCTTGGCCTCT